TATTTGTTCCTTCTGCATAATGGCATTACAATGGATCTGTGTTTCTATACTACCATTTTTTGGAATGGCGATGAGACTGACATCCAATATTACTGATCCAGGAAGGATACCAATGCCTATACAATCTCGCTATATTTACGATATAACAAAAAGTCCGCAATATGAATTAACATTTATTAGTCAAGCAGTCTATACAATTATCGCCATAATGGTCTATAGTGGAGTGGACAATTTTCTCAGTCTCGTGGTTTTTCATATATCCGGACAATTAGACATTCTTGCGAATTGTATGCAACATTTGGATAAATTAAAAAATTATCCCAAAGTACTAAAACGTTGCATACAAAAACATATTCGTTTGCTTAGGTTTGTTATTTGTAAGAAAACATATATGTATGTGATAATCTATACAAAATATGTGATTAAACATATTTAGTACATAAAATGTCTTTTATAGAGCTATTGATATCATTGAAGATACGTATAATAAAATACTTCTCTCTTTATTTATATATTTTGCGATAATCTTTGCTTTCTATGGATTTCGGATAATTAGCGTAAGTATTATTAAAATTGAAAATTGAATAAAAGAATGTTTATGTCTAAATTGTCCTGCTGAATAATTATGTAGATTTTAATGATTATAATCAATAAGTTATTACATTTAAATTTACATGTTTTGTTACAAAATTAAATATTAATATTAATAGGAATAACTATGTTGTATCGTTTATGCTTTTTCATAATTTAATTAGCTATTCGATGAGGGAAATGGTATGTCGATCATTCACTTAATCTATTTAATATGGGGTCTTATCAATTTATTTGCACACATGTGCCTATATTGCGTCCTTGGCGAAATTTTAGTGATTCAGGTAATGAGTTACATGAATGTTTTATTTTATTTCAGAATTATATAAATTGATGTTGTATAAGTTTGCATGTTAACTATAAACTTCTGTACATATACATATAATAATGACTGATTTTTATTTATATATGAAGCAATGTATATAATAATTTATCTAAAAGTACTTTTAATATTTTTAAGTGCAACAAGGTATACTATGCGGCGTATAGTAGTAAATGGTACACCATGGATCCAAAAGTTGCAAAAGATTTGTTGCTCTTAATGAAAAGAGATTCTAAACAGATTTGTCTTACCGTTGGAAAAATGTCTCCTGTTACAATGGCTACATTTTGTAGTGTAAGATGTTTTAAAATATTTATTATAATTATTAAAATATCATTCAATGTCATAAAAATTTAGTTGAAATGTACTATACCTATATAAAATTTGAATTATTTATTTTATGTACGTGTACAATCTTAATCAAACTTTATGATTTAACTATTAAATTTATATCGTTAATCATATTATTATTTAAAAAATATATTTTTCAGTTAGTAAAAACATCCGTTGGTTATATATCCGTTTTGCATACAATAAGAATGCGATACAAAGAGTGAAAATGGAAACTTTTTGCTAATATCATGCAATTTCTAATAGAATACGATAGAAATGTGCCGATATTAACATGTCATTTGCAAATAAATATATCTTAACGCATTATTCAAGTAGAATAGGCCTAGAATTCTATTAAGTAATAGTAAAAATGTGTTAGTAGTATAAAAAATGTTAATTTTTTAACACGTTTTTAACAGAAAATTTAATTGACTTGAGATAATCGTAACCTGTAGATACTTGTTAAATTATAAGCCAGTCTTTTTTTTACATTTAATTATTTATTTTATATGATACGTTATTAATTAAATATGTTATTGGATATATAAATTAACTAATTTTATATTACATTATTATGTTTCAAAAGTTATTTATTTAATAAAATAATAGTTACGTTAAACAAAACATGTTTAGTTTCTATGACAGTCTTTTTTATTCACTTTTATTGTAAATAATTTTGTGATATAAAGTCATATCAATCATTTAAAATGTAATTATTTGTGTTTTCTTACATTAATCAACTTTTGTATTTATTTTGCATAAAAAAATATATATGTATAATAACACACAAATGTACCTTACATTTTAATAGCATATTTTGAAAATCAGTTAGGATATAAGTTTCCAGTATATATTCAAATATGCCTCACACACACGCGCGCGCACGCGCGCACACAATTACTCCTAAATAAATAATTCATTAGATATTTTATGTTTTAAATTAATATATATTTTACATAGATACTAAGAGGCCGATTCTGTAACTCTTAACGACAGTCATTGATGTCGTTGCGCAGATATTATGTAAAGTAAAAAAGCTGCGCAATGACATCAACGATCGTCGTTTAAGAGTTACAGAATCGACCCCTAAAGCACACATACATTTACTTTTGATGAATACTTTTAATATTTTAATTTAATAAAATAATAGAAAAACTTTATTGTTAACTCAATTCTTTGCCTGTGAATATACATATATATATTATATATTATAACTGCACAAAATATCGTATAATTATATGTTTTTTTACGTTAATCAAATTTTATGTAATTATATGGTGCTTATAATGAATCTCCTAATATCTTTCTATTGTTAGTGATATATTATTAAAGTCATGCAATAAAAATGGATAGACTTAGATGATTAGAATTACTTGTTGGAAAAATATCAAGGTTTATATCTGTTAACAGAAATCAGTAAAAATACTTGTCTTATAAATGTATCTCTTAATAAATAAAAACTCTTTAAACTATATAAAACTATGTGTCTTACAAATAATTATTTTACAAAATATAAATTAAATCTTAAAGACTCCTTAATGATACAAAATGGTTAGATATAACATGGCAATAGGAGTCAAGCACGGCAATTCTTGTGCAAAATACAGTTAACAAAACAACTTTAATAATAACACAGGCCTGCATGGTTTTGTTGATTGGGATTTGACTATGTTTTCTTACGTAATTTTTCGCGCTGAATCTGAATCCGGCGGCAGAATTGCTCTATCACGTCAGATTTTTGAGAAAAGTGAGGTTAAAGGTGTCAAAATTGACGTTTTTTGACATATTTTTGATTTTTTTGCTAGCGAATTAAATTTTTTTTCTACTTTCGTTTACGCCATCTGAAAGTGTCAACATTTATTTTCAAAATATATTTTTTTTTAACGCCATACGTTTTTTTTTCACCGAGATAATCTCTGTGTAGTCCCACAAAGAATAACATTTTTGACACAAAATGTTTGTGTGATTACGCAGAGATTAACTATGTTTTCTTACGTAATTTTTCGCGCTGAATCCGAATCCGGCTGCAGAATTGCTCTATCACGTCGAGATTTCGAGAAATCTTAACCCAAAACAGCCAATAAATAAGCCATTTTTAGCCATATTTGAAATTCAATTAAAAATTGATAAAATTTTTGTCGTCTAATCCATCGATGGTGTCATTTACTATACAGCCCCTTCAAAATCCATTTTGGACCGGCCCAAAGCGTCCAAAATTACGTAAGAAAACATAGTTAATCTCTGCGTAATCACACAAACATTTTGTGTCAAAAATGTTTTTCTTTGTGTGACTACACAGAGATTATCTCGGTGAAAAAAAAGTACGGCGTTAAAAAATATATATTTTGAAGATAAATGTTGACACTTTCAGATGGCGTAAACGAAAGTAGAAAAAAAAATTTACTTCGCTAGCAAAAAAATCACAAATATGTCAAAAAACGTTAATTTTGACACCTTTAACCTCACTTTTCTCAAAAACCTGACGTGATAGAGCAATTCTGCCGCCGGATTCGGATTCAGCGCGAAAAATTACGTAAGAAAACATAGTTAAATCCCAATCAACTTTCAACACCTCCAATTTTGCAGGCCTATGTAATTAATTCGCTTACATGTTTCGGCTCACTTTTGAGCTATCCTCAGAGACAATATGATGTAATTACAAAAATTTTTTTTACAAACTAATTCATTTCAGTAAGCCACCTCCACCTATTAACGGAAATTATAATATAAAAACGAATTCTAATAACAATCTAAAATGTATTAAAATTATTAAAAGGTAAATTTGTTGGAAGCAAAAACGATTTATTGTAAAATAATAGAAGGTAGCTTATTAAAACAAAAATTCACTATATCGCAAACACTTAAATTCTCGATTTAATCAAAAACCAGTCTTTGACCATTCAGTGAATCAGTGTCAATTATATTTAAATTATAACTTTTAACATATATACCTAAAACGTTAATCGCAAAGAAAAAGAAAAAGGAAGGGAAAAAAATTCTGATACTAATTATAGTCCAGACGGACATCAAAACTAAAACTGAATCTTTAATAATTTAATCTTAATATAACAAAGAAAATGCACACTGATCAGTGTTTAATTGTAAGTTATATGCATTTTTCCTATTAAAAATATTTACATACATATATATAAATTATTTATTATTTCATAAAACATAACTAACATTTTTACAAAATCCAATTCCATTAGTTAATTACGTATATAAAAATGTTAATGTAAGTCATAAAAAAATCTGTATGTGTTTGTATAGATAAGATATTTACAGTTATATATACAAATAATATAAGTGAGTATATAATGCGATCAAAATTGCATATTTTACAAATCTAAAGCCTATAATGCAGCCTAATGCAATGAGAAATACAGGTAATAGGAATAGGAATAAAAAACGGATTACAACCTGTCAGAAACCATGTATTTTGATATACAGTTTCTCTCTCTCTCTCTCTCTCTCTCTCTCTCTCTCTCTGAATTAAAATCTATTATTCTTTATTCTTATTGTCTGTGCTTTTCAATTGTGCATTAGACTTTATATTTTTATTTCTTACATATTCTATAAAATCATTTGTTTTTTGTTGAAAAAAAAAATACGAAAAAAATATTCCTTTTTACTTTTTAAATTTTTTATCGCTTATTAAATTTTTGTAATAGTCTCTATTCCGATTCAATTATTTGTTAAATAGTTAAAAATTTTAATATTAACATTTTTTTAAGTTATCGAATCGATCATGAACATGATCGTGAAGGATTGGGTAAAATTGAAAAATGCAGAAGAGAAAAGTATGATGATCCGAAGGGCACGGAGTGCACGTATAATTATTACATTCGCATACTGCATAATGGGAACAGGATGTTTTTTTCTTATCGTTCTACCTAGTTTTGGAATATCAATGAGAGACCTCACCAACATTACTGACTTAGGCAGACCAATGCCCCTACAAACTCATTACATTTACGATATAACAAAAAGTCCACAGTACGAACTGATATTTATTAGTCAATCTGTTTATATCATTATTACCATGATGTTCTATAGTGGAATCGATAATTTTCTCGGGCTGTTAGTTTTCCATATATGTGGTCAATTAAATATAAAGCCCATTCTACAATTGCGTAAGTGTAGTTGTAAATAGTTGTAGTTGTAAGAATTGATCAATCACTGTCGAATACAAGAAAAATATTCAACTGTGATTGGTCAATTTTTACAACTACAATCACTTACAACTACGCTTACGTAATTGTAGAATAGGCTTTATGAAGAACCGTTTAACAAGTTTGGATAAATGTAAAAATTCTCATGAAATACTAAACAGTTGTATAACAAGACACATACGCTTACTTAGATTTGATCCATATGAAATACATAATCAGTACTTCATCTATATACTATACATATATTATCTAATATACGGATTATCTTTTATAGTCATTGATATGATTGAAGATACATATAATATAATACTTCTCTTTTTATTCGTATATTTTGCGATTCTTTTCGCTTTTTATGGTTTTCGGATAATTATTGTAAGTATTTTTTAGTTTATGTAACTTATTTAAATAAAATGTGATTTTTAACTTTGAGAAAATAATTGAGAAATATACTATAAAACGTACACATTTATATTATATCTTAGATTAAGATTATTTAGAAGAAGATTATTTAACCAACTGTCGTAATGACAAGACACATATTGTTCTCGCAGTTATATATTTTTTAAAATTGGACGATAATTTATAAAAAATTTTAACAAATTACAAAATGTTTACGAAGAAAAGATTCATTATTCAGTGTAGAAGCGTCGACTGTGTGAGCTTGAGTTCTCATTGCCACTCAGCTTTCTAACTTAGTGAGTATGTTGACTTGCCTCACAACAGTAAACGGTTCAATATTTGAGAGGAAAAACATTGGAGATATCATTTTGTCATGCAATACTCCAATTGTTACGTTAGGGTGACAGATTGCTGATGAAGACTCAAACCATGAGTGGAAACGTTCAAAGTTAAGGTTTATACATTTAGTATTAAGATAAAATTGCGCTAACCGATAACCAGCGTCGACTCCTATTGCCTGTAATATATAATTTATGGTTTTATTAATTATATTATGTCTTAATTTTTCGAATTAATATCAATTAAAAAAATCATGTCTTTTGTCTTATCCTATAAATTAATTAGTTATTTGACGAAGGAAATGATATAGGAGTTGGCTAAGTCGTACCGACGGTTAAATCGTATCTCCAGTGTATTTTCTAAACGGAACATTTTTTTTTAAGATAATGGCACTGATATGACGCTGTAATATGGATTAAGAATTGTCTACATTTTTGTTTTGTCTTCGAGTCGTCTGTTTACGAGTGACATTCAAAATTGATTTTGTTCGGTGTCTGATCTAAGTTTTGGTACAATTTACCTAGACCTAAGGTGTTATCAGTACAAGGTGGGTAATTGAATTATATTGTTTTTTATGGTTATAATTTATATTTAAACTCTTTTCGAGTATAGCATCAAATTAGCAAAATATTTGTAAGTTATGTTGCTATTGGCAAATTTGTAAAAATAGATGAGGGAATTAGGTAAGTCCATGATAAAAAGACAAGGGTATGCTCATGCGCATGACCAATCAGATTTTTGTCCTTGCTTACGTCACAACGAGTGGCTTACGCCACTGTTCAGCAATTTCAGATTGTTTTGGAAAGGTAAAATATTTAATTTTACTTCCCTCAGTTTTTTTTGTTTTTTTCATATAATTGCCGCATCCTTTCACTATGCAGGTCATCGTGAAAATATTTTTAACATTAACTTCTACCGATGACAACGTGCACTACGCCATGGACGCCATGATAAATTACGACCGATAACCACCGATTGCACCCGAATCAGAACCGACCAATCAACGCGTACCCGAATATGACGTAGGCAAGGACATGCGCAAGCTGAACGAGTTTTAGACAATTGATGAGCATACCCTTGTATTTTTATCATGGGTAAGTCGTACTTGTCACTGGTCTTTATATTGTACCGGTACGATTTTCGCAAGTGACGCGAGCAATATGTAGAGGTTACTATTATGATAAAAAAGGACTTACAGTGGACTGGATTCAGTGTATCAGGTGCTCTCAAGGCCCGTCTACAATACACGGAGTAAGAAGTAAGAATAAGAAATTGACCAATCACAGTCGATTATTCTTCTCACATTCGACTGTTATTGGTCAATTTCTTACTCTTACTTCTTACTCGTGTATTGTAGACGGGCCTTAAGGCGTCGTCTACGATACACGGAGTAAGAAGTAAGAATAAGAAATTGACCAATCACAGTCGATTATTCTTCTCACATTCGACTGTGATTGGTCAATTTCTTACTCTTACTTCTTACTCCGTGTATTGTAGACGACGTCTAATTCTTACTCTTATTACTTCTTACTCCATGTATTGTAGACGGGCCTTAAGTGGTTGCACGAAACCTATAGTGACAACCCGGTAAAATTTTTCATGCATGAACATGTATAAATATGTACTCGTATAAACATACATATATAAACACCCATAAATATTTATAAACATGTATAATTATATATGAAATATGTCCATACATGTTCATACATCCTTCTCTTTTTTGTAAAATTACTTTTTAGTGTAATAGAAATAATAATAGTAATGTAAAAACATAAAATATAATTAAAGGGATAATTTTCGCATTGTTTATTTTTGAAAAAAATAAGTTTGGAAAAATGTAAAAAAAATTATTCATACATAATTATGCATAATTTTATATATAATTATAAAAAGTTGTTTTACATTTCTTCAAACTTGATTTTTTCTAAAACAAATAGTGCGAAAATTACCTTTTTAATTATTTTTAATGTTTTCACATTACTATTATTATTTCTATTACACTAAAATGTAATTTTAAAAAGAAAGAGGGATGTATGAATATCTATGGATATATTTCATATATGATTATACACATGTTTATGAATATTTATGTATGTTTATGCATATTTATACATATTAATGTATAAAAAATTTTTTACTGGATTGCATGTGAATAACTCGGCAAATTTCAAGTCACACAGATAAAAAAATAATTATGCGCGTGAAAAGCGCTTTAAAAACGCTTTTTTAGCGCAGAAACATCGAGGTTTTGTAGATATTATCCCGAGAACAAAATATTTTATTTAAAATTATATAAAATTAAGTATAAAATTATACAATATTATTTAAAATTATATTTTATATAATTATATAAAAAATTTTTTTCTGGATATTTCAAAAAATTATATTTCGTAATAAAAAAATAAATTTATTGAAAATTTTATAAATCTAAATTTATAAATACGAGTGTCTCAAAGTTTTGGCGATAAGTGTATAATATATAATAATTATAAAATATCATGCACACTACACACAACGCTGGTAGAAAAATTTTGTTGAAATAATTTCAGATTTTGGAATACTTTTCAGCCAAATTTCAGCGGCTTTTAGCTGAAAAATTCATTTCGGCTAAAAAAAAATGACTGCTATCGCAAGATGTTTTTCTTATAGTCTTTCATCGATTATTCTCTACGTTTTCGACGCTAAAGAAAATATTTTGATTTCAAGAACAAAAAAGGTGTTAACATTAAATTTTTCAATATCTATCTTCTTTGTCACACAACAGTCAACGTTTCATGATATACTAGTAAGTTCAAAAAGTTCTTGGAAGTAGTTCTCTTTCAAGTTGCTCTCTCTGGTGATACCTTTTTGATGAGTTTAGGTTGCGATCCACTTGACGCTACAAACGCTTCGAAGCATTCTTTGATTAGTCAATTCGTAAAATTCTTTGTTCTGATTGGTCGCTCAAACGCTTCGAAGCGTTTGTAGCGTCAAGTGAACCACAGCCTAAAACGCGTCCAATAAACTAGTTTGTCCAGACGTGAATTCATATAAACGGGCTTTTAACGAGCCATTCGTATTTCATGCACCGACAGATGGCGGTTGTAATGAGTGCATTCAGTACTACAACCGCTCAGCTCTTGCATCTAATTGGCATATTCCAATAGATCCAAAAATATAGACCAAACAGGTGCAAGAGCTCACTAAGCGTTCAGTGAGCGATTGTAGTACTGAATGCACCTAATTTTTCTCGAACATACCAGAACATACGGCAAAGAGTGAGCGGGGGTACAAGGTTTACGCAGATCATACGGGAGAAGGACGAAGATCGTCTACGATGCCGACGAGCTTCGTTTGCTGTACGGTTTACCTGTTGATAGTCTCGAGGTCGATCTAACACGAGAGAATTGGCGATTAAGAGCGGGCTTCCGCCAAGCGGTATATTCTCGGTGAGTCACGTGTGCGATAGAGCGTCGGTTCTTCATTGTAGTGGTGACAATTTTCATACAGAAACCAAGTGCGTACCGTGGTGAAATATATGCGCCCGCGTTTCGCGTGCCTTAATGATCGCGAAACACGCGTTGTCATTCACGCTCGCATGTAGTACGAGGTGGATCGGCGATGTTGCCCGCTTGCACACGGTGATTCTAGTAGCTTCGCGTGCGACCCGGTGATTTTCTAGCGATCATTTCGTCGGCCGCTTTTATGAGGATCATTGAAAAAATGTAAATGGCATTCGGTGTCCACCTGCGGAACTGAGGTTACTTCTTGGTACTTTCTTTTACGAAGCGATTGAAATTGTTTGGATAAGAGGATGGCAGTGCGTATCACTTTAGAGTGCGGACATACTTCGATGCTACGTATGCGTAGTACTCCTGAGGGATACACGCATGATTGGGAGGTGTTCGTACGAGGAGTGGATAATGCAGATATACATCATTACATTGAGAAAGGTATACCATCTTCTTAATCCAATCTTTATAATTCTATTAGGCCCACTTTCACAACTCACGGTTAACTCTTAACTGAGGTTCAACTTATTTCTCATCTTTTTCCAATTCTAGAATTGAAAAGAGATAATGAATAAGTTGAACCTCGGTTAAGAGTTAACCGTCAGTTGTGAAACTAGGCCTTAGTATGTTCAGTTGTAGTGGATTTGGATAGAATTGGAGTAATGACATTGTATGCTCCATATTATTGGTAGAGCATGTAACATCAATCAGTAGTAAAGCATGTAACGTTCATAATCCAATCCAGATTGATTCAAACTTACTAAGTCGAAAACGCTGTTAGGAATTTATGTACAATATTTGTAGTTCTTTATTCTTTTTTTTTCTATTGTTTATATAATGTGACAAATTATCATACTACTTATCTTTACACTGTAAATGTTATTTTTTTACACTTGTTTTCATAAAAACAACTTTTTTTATATTTTTAGTGGTATTCCTCTTACATGATACATTTCGGAATCCTAAGAGAGTGTTCAAAGAACCACCATTTGTGGTGAAAGAATCTGGCTATGCAGGCTTTATAATACCGATTGAAATTTATCTGAAGAATAAAGATGAACCCAAGAAATTTCAAATATCATACGATCTGCATTTGCAGAATAGTGGTCCGCCTATTAACAAGACTATACGTCATGTAGAAGTAATCCGTAATCCTTCTGACGACTTTAGGAAAAAGTTATTGAAAGGTGGAGCTGTAAGTCTAGTTTTTATCTAAATATTTGTGGATTATTGTGTTTATATTAAAAGTAGAATATATTACACGAAATATGTATAATCAACATATAAATGTATTGATATGTTATATACTAATATAATAATTTTTCTGATTATATTTTATAATTTTAGGTTATAGTATCCAGTAGAGATGGTTCATTAGAAAAAAGTGATATAAAAACATCCACGATGGTTGGCAAACCAAAATTAAATGGCAGTGAAAGCAAGAAGCATCGTATTACCGAGTCTAAAACTTCTAATTCGTTTCACGATTTATTTGGCCCTCCTATAAAAACAGCGCCTGTAAAGATATCGCCAGATAGCAAAAAGACAAGTCAGTCTGATAAAAATTTAGTTCCTAAACCTTTAGTTATTACCGAAAAACCTGACAAAGTGGATAAAACAATTAAATTGAAGGAAAGTCCTCATAAAGATAGTAGAAAAGATAAAATAGATGAGAAGAAGGATAAAAAGGTCAGAGATAGTTCTAAGGACCAACTTAGGAGTAAAGATAAGTCCAAAAGACCTCCTAGTCCTGGAAGTAAAAGTCATTCGAGTCCTGGTAGCAAAAGACCAGCATCACCTGTCACAACAAAGAAGCCGTTGAGTCCT